TTTTGGAAATTATCAAATGTAGCTGAGTGGGTTAGGCGGCTGACTTTGTGAGCTGGCGGTTAGGTGCCTGACTCAACCCAACAAAAGTTTGAGAATCTGTACTTTACTAAAAAAAGTGTAATCCCAAATGTAGTATATGTAACAAAAACATTAAATAGAATGAAACTGGTTATGCTGGACGGGGATGTCCCCAAATAAATAGGAGAAGTAGTTGTCAGGATTAATCTAGAATAATAATGTCCATCATATTTGCAGCTATTAATGCCCCTTACCACATCTTCACTGAATAGTTGTTAGACAGAGGTCTACACAGAGCGGGAGGTATGTGCTTCCCTCCTCTTTGCTACGTCGTCATACTAAATGACGCAAAGCTATGATTCTTGTTGTTACGTCACAGTACATACTTTATTGTATTGTATAAAGCGCCCACTCCTACATGTATCGGAAGCATATTTACCACCTTCCAATAAGAATACTGTTAATTTTCCCATTTGGCAATATTTGCCAGGGCATGAATTACCACAATGTACATGTACCAGTAGAACCAGGGCGTTCATCATTATTTCCATATGTCAGAGGTCTAGGTCTCTTCATGCAATCCATGCACCTGTTCAATAAATATAAAATAAATAGGTTATGCAAACACGTTCGTAAATGTTAAGAACGAATAAGCATGTATACACAACTTGACAAATATTACTTTGCCAAGCTCTATCTGCCAGTCAGTTGGGGCGATGGGGTAGCCTAGTGGTTAAAGCGTTCGCTCGTCACGCTAAACAATCTGGTTCGATTCCCCACATGGATACAATGTGTGAAGCCCATTCCTGGTGACCCGCCGTGATATTGCTGTAATCTTGCTAAAAGCAGCATAAAACCAAACTCACTCACTCACTCACATATGTCAGAGGGTGTATTAGCAGAGCATACATTGACAAGATATATTAAAATGGTCACACGCAACTTAAACACAACTTTGCAGATTCTGATACCTTCCAGTATCAAAATTCATTATTCATTATTACCACTACAAGTAATATATTAGGATTCGGATATTAGGAAAATATAAATATAGAATATTAGTAATAGCTTAGAGAAAGACTGCAGTCATATATCAGCAAAAAATAATAAAATAAATAATTTCCATCATAAATGGAGCCTGCTCTCCCCAGTACTTAGTTGACTCAAACTGTATTGACTTGTACCTGACATTATCTGTACATTATCGATTTAATGAATTATGCATGTTTATAAATATATTAATACAAAAATATCTCACCTGTACATCATGTAGCCATATTACTTTAAGCCGTACGTATCACGGCTTGGTATATCTGCAATATTGTAATCTTGGGAACCAATAAAAAAAACAAAAACAACAACAAAAAGAACAACTGAAACGTTGGCATAATAGCTAAGTTGAACACCATACTAATGGCAGGTAACGTGCAAAAACCTTAATTTAACTAACAACTAAGAGCACCGGCCGGTTTTTCCTATTCTTGGATAATACTGAAAAATACTGTTAACTTTATATTCAAAATTTAACTGCAAGAACACTATGGTTTACGTTCCTACCTCAAAGTGATTCAAATCAACCATTTTCGTCCCCAGCTGACCCGTGAAGATCCTGAATTGATCTTCAGTAACCCTTGCTTGTCGTAAGAGGCGACTAACGGGATCGGGTGTTCAGGCTCGCTGACTTGGTTGACACATGTCATTGTATCCCGATTGCGTAGATTGATGCTCATGCTGGTGATCACTGGATTGTGTAATCCAGACTTGATAATTTACAGACCGCCGCCACATAGCTGGGATATTGCTGTGCGGCGTAAAACAAAACTCACTCACTCGTCCCCAGCTAACGCCGACTATACCCAAACTTCCAGCGGTATAAGGGGAGTCTTTGAATTCTCGAATGTGTGAACCAGACAACCGAGTGGTTAACATTATGAACATCAAATCAGTCGAGCCTGACCACCCGATCCTGTTAGTCGCGTCTTACGACAAGCATGGGTTGCTGAAGATCAGTTCTACCCCAGGGCCTAGATTTTCGACGCTCTCTTAGCGCTAAGATAGTCATAAGTACCATTCATTAACATTAACTTACGACTATCTTAGCGTTAAGAGAGCTTCGAAAATCTAGCCCTGATCTTCAACAGTAAGCCAATAATACTAATCGCCTTACCGTGACAGTGTCAATATGTACTGTACTTCGGCAAAAGCAGAACATGAAGCCGTGATCTGTTTCAACTTGAAAGGGTAAGGCGTCGATGGCTTCAAGGCTCGATATTTTGGTGCTGGTACACATGAATATACAAGTGTACCTAAAATGCACAGTTGTGGTGTTAAACTGCTAGACATACCATGGAAATCATTACTTTACACTAATCAATAGTAACACAAAAGTACTACGTTTATAACGAACACGCTTATAATGAACTGGTGGATGTAACGAACATATTTTTTTCTTCGACTACTTGCATATATTCTGATCGAAATGCGTATTAACGGAACTGCGGTTGTAACGAACCAATCTCATATTTATATGATAGAGGGCAAATGGGTATTTTTATTTGTAATAGTATATAATGGTTCATGTTTTCAACATGATGTCCAGAGTTAGTGAGTTTGGTTTTACGCTTCCTCCTTTACCTATATTCCATTAATATCAAATCAGGGAACACCATAAATGGGCTTCACACAGTGTACCCATGTTGGGAAACGAGCTTCACACAGTGCCATGTTGGGAATCGAACGCGAGCGAACGCTTTAACCATGATGCTACCCCCATGATGTCTTCACACAGTGTACCCATGTTGGGAATCGAACCGGTGATGAGCGAACGCTTTAACCATGAGGCTACCCTCATGATGTCTTCACACAGTGTACCCATGTTGGGAATCGAACGGTGATGAGCGAACCCTTTAACCATGATGCTACCCTCATGATGTCTTCACACAGTGTACCCATGTTGGGAATCGAACCGGTGAATGAGCGAACCCTTTAACCATGATGCTACCCTCATGATGTAACCATGAGTGTACCCATGTTGGGAATGTCTTCACACCCTTTAACCCAGTGTACCCATGATGTTCACACAGTCGAACCCATGTTGGGAATCGAACGGTGATGAGCTTTAACCTTGATGCTATGATGCTACCCTCATGATGTCTTCACACAGTGTACCCATGTTGGGAATCGAACCCGGTGATGAGCTGAAAGCTTTAACCATGATGCTACCCTCATGATGTCTTCACACAGTGTACCCATGTTGGGAATCGAACGGTGATGAGCTTTGAACGCTTTAACCATGATGCTACCCTCATGATGTCTTCACACAGTCACACAGTGTACATGTTGGGAATCGAACCGTGATGATGAGATGCATGATGCTACCCTCGCTTTAACCATGATGCTACCCCTCATGATGTCTTCACACAGTGTACCCATGTTGGGAATCGAACCGGTGATGAGCGATTAAAACCCCTTTAACCATGATGCTACCCTCATGATGTCTTCACACAGTGTACCCATGTTGGGAATCGAACCGGTGATGAGCGAACGCTTTAACCATGATGCTACCCTCATGATGTCTTCACACAGTGTACCCATGTTGGGAATCGAACCTAACCGTGATGAGCGAACGCTTTAACCATGATGCTACCCTCATGATGTCTTCACACAGTGTACCCATGTTGGGAATCAGAACGGTGATGAGCGAACCCTTTAACCATGATGCTACCCTCATGATGTCTTCACACAGTGTACCCATGTTGGGAATTGAACCCGATGATGTACCCATGAGCGAACGCTTTAACCATGATGCTACCCTCATGATGTCTTCACACAGTGTACCCATGTTGGGAATCGAACCGGTGATGAGCGAACCCTTTAACCATGATGCTACCCTCATGATGTCTTCACACAGTGTACCCATGTTGGGAATCGAACCTGTGATGAGCGAACGCTTTAACCATGATGCTACCCTCATGATGTCTTCACACAGTGTACCCATGTTGGGAATCGAACCCGTTTCTTCAACAATCACTTGTATGTTGTTTTTTCGTTTGTTCCAGATTCAGAAATATTTACCTTTCTACATCAACTTACGTTTCTTTTGCGGTTCAGTAATATTTCCTGTGTAGAAGCCATTTCACTTTGCTGTTGCGTGTTCCATGGCGATTGCCTGCCTTTTGTAAACCTTTTCAGAACGTGTAAACCTACTTGGTGTGGAGGGTAGAGAGCAAAGGGTATATCCGGCTATAATGCAGTACAGTTATTTGAATGTGAGCAATTTTTCAATGTACCTTCACTCATACATGGAGTACAATGTGGATTAGTGAACACGGGCAGGACTTCATTTTCTTAAACTAAATAGTGGGTTGTCAGTACTTTGACTTAAGGTAAGGGTATTTCTTTACCGATTATTCCGTTTCCAACATTTGTTTTCAAATGTACTTTGCAGAAAAAGAAGGACGCACTGGTGTTCACAATGTCTTCCAAAGTGGAGGTGGGGAATCCCTAACCGCCGCCATGATATTGCTGTAATATTGCTAAAAGCGGCGTAAAACTAAACCCTTACTCGCACATGGAGAAGTGAATTTTACTGAAAATAGATAGTAAAATGTAATATGGGCGAATAATAACCAGGTCTAATCTGACGCATCAACCAATTTCCACTGAACCACACGGGGTCATGCAACAAGCTGTCAAATTGTAATCCTGCACGTGTACGCAGTCAAGTGATCAGTGCCATTTTGTTTAGCCACCATCACGTGTGCATAACTTTCTGGTGATTAATAAACGTGAACAATCCTTGAGTTCTCTTGTCACGCAGTACCACTGGTGAACGTGCAACTGTCATGCTCCAGGCTGGCCAGACCACTCAGGCTGCTGTACGTGTTGCGATATGCAGTAGGCGGACAATTCACAACCCGAGCTCGTTATTCCCATTTTCTTTTTATCCTTGTGTGAATCGTCCCTAACGTTTATTGGTCCGTTCTGTTTGTGGTCCAAAATCCATTATCATTTCAGATGTGGAAATGGAATGGTTTTAAAGAAGACAAAAGGCTTCCTTACTATTGGGAAGACCACCTATAGTTATTTCTTTAAGCTGTTCACTGTCAATGGGGATCGGTCTCTCAGTTTTGTGTGTAACTTCACGGTGTGTGATACAAAGTGTAATGGGGTAAGTACACGTCATAGTAACGGTCCTTTGATTCTGTCTAACAATTGTTAGTTACCCGTGTAATTTGATCGGGTCTGTTCGATATCCGTGGAAGGTATAGGGCTTGCCGGGGTTTCTCACGAGTACAGAAAGTCATGTTTGAGATACAGTTTGACCATGTCTATGACGTTCCTACAACAGGTGCCCCCAATGGGCGTAACTTTATGTACCTGGTGGCATGTAATCCTCCAAATGAGGACATAAAACACCCTACGTAATTTCTTCGATGCTCATGCTGTTGATCAGTAGATTGTCTGGTCCAGACTCGATTATTTACAGACCGCCGCCATATAGCTGGGATATTGCTGAGTGCGGCGTAAAACTAAACTCACTCACTCACTCATTCACATTAATACATGTTGGAGATAAAGTGGCCCATATACCAAGCTAGGTCGCCAATAAACGAAACAGGCTGGCATCCCATTCCATCCTTATTGGAGGGATATGTTGTCTAATGGAGGTAATTTTAAGTTTAAAGGATATTATGGTCGCTAGATATGGATTACTAAGCGAATGCAATCTGACGGCGATGGTCTCACTCACTACGTAATTTCTGCACGGAAACAATACGTTAACATGGAAATATATACGTTAACGGCTCTGGGAATACAACCTTGCTCGGGACTGATGTAGAAACCCCGTATTTCCCTCGACACGATGTGATAACTTACAAAGTCAGCTATACTATAATTTTATCTGCAGCGTTATTGCAATCGCAGAACACAATTCAGTGGCAGCATATTCCTGTTACTGTTATATTACAAAGTCGGGTATACTTTAATTCTTTCTGTAAAACAGTGGTCAGGTGGCCGAGGCGGGATATCTTGGTCGAATAATCTGTAAAATCCCTTGTCTTTAGTTTTGCGAGACAACGGATATATGCTTGACCTTTTGTCGTAAAGACAGCATATCCTCCAAGAATTTAGTTAACTTGGAAGATTCTATGCACTAGTTAACCCCAAAACATGTGAATACCTTCTTGCATACAGTAACCGTGAAGATCCGGGTTAGAATTGGTCTTCAATAGCTTGTGCTTGTCGTAAAGAGGCGACGTGACTTGATTGACATGCCATCGTATCCAAGCTTCCTTCATCGATGATCAGGCTGTTACTCCATACCGTCGCTATGTAAGCCGTGTGACGTTAAACAACAAATATTAGTAATACATTTCTATTTATTTAGACTATCTATGTTGATAGATTCTACTGAATTGTCAGAAACGGTGTAACAATTTCAAGCCTTCTCTAAAGACATGTACTGCTGTAATACTGCTCATAATGGTTGGTCTAAATTTGGAGAGAATCAGTTTAATTCACATTTACTTCTGTTGCACATTTGGGGCGGTGGGGTAGATTGATAGTTAAAGCGTCCGCTCGTCATGCTGAAGACCCGAGTTCTATTCCCCACATGGGCACAATGTGTAAAGTCCATTTCTGGTGTCCCCCGTTGTGATTTTGGTAGAATATTGCTGAAAGCGGTGTAAAATCACTCTCACTGAACATTTTCGTTCCAGCCGTCGTGTTTTGCGAGGGCATCGGGACGCAAACGCCGAGATCAGCCAGGTATTTGTCAACAGTTCAATGGGAAAGTATTGACGTTTTTTTAATGAATAAGCTTTCCCAAGTAGAAACTAGTCCATGGGAATATTTTCACTAGAGGAACTGAGCACAAAGGCGCAATGTCGCTATAGTAACCGATCCTTGTAATGCTATTGGATAAGAAGCGGGACATTGTGTACCGGCGAATAGAAATTGTATAAGATTAAATGAACATATTTTCTACTCTGCCCGTTAATTCTAGAAACTGTAATTGCTGTAGCATATTTCCATGATGGCAGAACAAACCTTCCCATGCTGAAGCTTCCCTAGAACAAGTGCCTACAGGTTTCCGAGGAAGTTTATCATTGTACAATATTGCCCATAAATATAAATAGATGTTTATCATTTAATACCCAACAGCTTTCTTATATTTGAGGAAAGGACAGCGGCGTAAAACCAAACTCCAGGTTCTTTAAGAAACTATCATTCAAATTTTGACAGATTTGAAAGGATGGAGACGGCACAGCACAGGCTAATGAATCAATAACTTGGTGGGCACTTGTGCACGTGCTTCTCAAACACCTGGCTGTCCCTTTCTCTGCACATCTCCCTCGTAACAAATAGTGAACTGTGTCAAAATATTAATGATAGTTTCTTAAAGAACTTTTTGGGTGGAGTCCGGAAAATTTTCAAATATAAGAAAGCTGTTGGGTATTAGTAAATGATAAACATGTGTACTATTTTAATGTGGCAATTTTGTACAATGATAAAATTTGCAATTCATCGGTCCGTTTCTGACTCAAACGGACTGTAGGTACTTGAGGCATCTCGAGGCATCTCCGTTTCGAGATCATATTTGACGTTAACTTTATTAAATTACTCCTGTTCAAAGAATTGTTTATTTGTTTCAGGTGAGAGTACTGGGACATTTTGTTGGGTTCGAAGGGCCATGTCGTGAACGCAGTCACGTTGACTAGTGATCCTGTTAACGTCCAGGAGATAATGGCCCCAGTTCAACTGCTCAAAGCTCACCGGTCACGTGTTCGACGCAACCAGTAAACTGTACCTAATTGGTGGTTGGGTTAATAAAATTATAAAACTACAAGAAGTCTCCATATTTGACCATATACTATAATATTCAGCCGAGTCTGCTGTAAGTTGTTTAGCTTCAAGTACCCGTGAATGTCCGGGTTATAACTGATCTTCAGTAAGAGGCGACTAACGGGATCGGGTGGTCACATGTCATCGTATCCCAATTGCGATGTTCATGCTGTTGATTCCTGGATTGTGCTGTCCAGACTCCATTTCTTTACAAACCGCCACCATATAGCTGGAATACTGCTGAATGTGGCGTAAAATTAAATCCACTCTCACTTTCTAGTCTCCTTTCTGGCAACAAATAGGAAACGACCTATCGATTTGAAGTGGACAGCAGTGTGTACGCAGACTTCTTGACGGAGGAAGCCACTATTGGTAAGTGAATTGTGACTAGATTAAGTGTTAACCTTGGAATCTACTCCCAAAGAATTCAGTTATAAACCAACAGGTTATGAAATGAACTACAAATCGATACAAAGGACCACCAATTAGAATGGCTGTCAACACTATTTAACTTATAAGGACTTACAGCAGCATATAATATACTACTAGCACTTTGCTAAGGATCACAAAATTCCCAACTTTATTTAAACAGATTTATAATTTGAAATTGTATCCATTTTAAAACTAGATAAATAATGAAATGGTAACCCCTCTTTAGGCAAACAGCCACTTTAATCTAACCTTATGCACTTGATACATGAGTAACCATAAAAGATGGTTTCATGGCACAAAGTCAACCGTTTTTGCAAATCATGGAACGAGTCATTGACAAGTACAAAACACCTGTGAATAGCAGGTATGGGATCCACAAGATGAAATGACATAACTGAAACCTAGGATCCATGCTTACAATAAGTTTGGATATTTAAACTAAATTAGACCCCACAACATGGTTTTCTATTGAATCGATGGTTTGATCCTTAGCAAAGTGTGAATAGTATATAATGGCATTCGTAATGGTCGAGGACAACACCGGCCGAGGAAATATTGGCGAGCCTAAGTTTATTGTCCTTAAACCTAAAATCTTACATATTGGCGCCCCAGTTTCGTAACTCGTGCATCCAAACACGGCAATAATATTGGCGTTCTACATCTGGATAGCACAGTTTATTACCCACGTGGTCAAGGTATGGGTAGTTGCATACTAATCTCGTAGGTCACACGAGTGTCGTATCGCGTTGATCTGTGTCGTAACGACTTGACCTGAGATTCTAACGATTTGATTGGATAACCGATGACCTCTCAATTAGGTCACATTCTGACGTAACTATTTCTTTCAACATTCTTAACAAACACGTGAATTCATTCATTCTACAACTTAAATGCATTGTGGGTATGTAAACATTGACAACGTTGCCGTGTAACATCTGAACACTCAGTCACCGCGGCTTCCACAACAAAATGAAATGGTATTGTGCAATCATGGTTTCAACCGTGGGAGCTGAACCAAGAAACGTAGTGCTTAGGAGTTAGTTGAACTATAGAGACCGTTCAAGGCAGTAACAACAGACATGCATCGTGACGTCGGTTACCAAGGAGACGTTCGGTTACAAGGGTGCAGACTAGAATGGCTTAGAGACGTCGATACAGTGTGAAGTAACCGAAAATCGCCAGATAAAGTACTGGCGGCGCCTTTGATCTTTTAACGAAGTGTTGTTGAATATGGCATATGCGTGACAACAGCGCAGTACGAACGATTTCTCCTTCAAAACATGCAGTGTTACATTCATCAAACAATTCAATACACGTGGAACTAACAGTTCCACAATAACCTAAATGACTCACCAAGTTCCTGTTCATGTAGAACAAGAACGGGCTGCCAGTTGAGAGAAAGCAGAAGTTGCACCAGCATGATCTTGTACTGTTAATGTCGCTGACAATAATGGAACATGCGTTTTAACGTAAATTGTAATAAAAACGCAAATTGTAATTCTTGCAGCAAATTGTAATAAATTTGACGTAAATTGTAATAAAAACGTAAATTGTAATAAAAATTGACGTAAATTGTAATACGCAAATTGTAATAAAAATTGACGTAAATTGTAATAATTTTAGTTGCGGTACAATGTAATAAATGTCTACGTAAATTGTAATAACAGTTTTAATCACTCGTATAAACGCGTGTGTTTGTTTTTCGTTGCATTTCATACATCATATAAGCTTGTTAAGACCACTCAAACAGGTTTGTGGTATTTATTCATTCATTCACTCACTCATTCATTCATTAAGTGATCCATCACAAAACAGTGTACATAAAGTTTGTTGATTTGGGGATTTCCATAAAAACATGATGATGCGGACATACACTGTATTATTACCCACGTGCATGTCATCGTGTGGGTATTTGCATACTAAAACGGTCACCGGCTCTTTTGTGTTCTGAGTTGGTCATCTCAATATACTCCAATCTATGGCGGAACACTTAACATCACATTGTAACAATCACTGTCAGGTGGAGGGATGGCCTGAGAATTCCACTTCACGTCCAATGACCGAGCCGACTCAAGTACTAATCAAGTGACTGTTGACAGCATGTCGTGCGGGGTGATGTGACATGTGTTGACAGTTCGTTGTTATTCTATAATGAGAAATGTTTGCTTCCTTTGAAGCTTGTGTTTGGAGTTATTAAAATTCTAAAGCGTATCCACATGTAAAACAGATAAGAACTATATTCAATTGCGCATATTCAGGAATGTCAAAAGAAGTGCAATGGTCCTCTACAAAACTCGTGACCTTCCTATGGTTTCAGACCTCGTTTGGTGTGTGTGTGTGTGTGTGTGCGTGCGTGCGTGCGTGCGCGCGCGCGTGTGCCTAGTGGTTAAAGTGTCCGCTCGTCACGCTGAAGACCCGGGTTCGATTCCCCACATGGGTACAATGTGTGAAGCCCATTTCTGGTGTCCCCCGCCGTGGTATTGCTGGAATATTGCTAAAAGCGGGGTAAACAGAACTCACTCACTCACTCACTCTGACCTCGCTTTCTCTCGGTCAGTTACCATAGAAAGGACACTCGTTTCGTATAATTCGTATGTAATAAGACCTCGTGTAGTATTCTCTATCTACTTCACTTTAAACTTTACGCGTCATAAAACCACACTCGCTCACTCCTAAATTCACTGGAGAAATGAGCGCTACAGTTTTTAGAACCTCTTTCTAGGTCATCATAAGATCGCTTTGTTCAAGAGGGCCCTGCGTCGATATAAGATTACCTACCAAATCCGATCCCAATCAGTGCGTTATGTATAAGGTAGTACTCTTCATCCACGTAATTGCTCCTGCCACCACGTCCCTAGTGTCATGATAACTCACATTTTATCCTTTTCTGTTTGACCCAGATATCCTGATGCCTAACATGTTACCTTTTTCCTTTTGAACATATTCAAATAATTCTACGTGGTAATTGTAATTCTGAGTCATCTAGTTATTGGCGTGGACAGCTGGCGCTCCAGTTGCAAAGTTGCGTGTTGGCATAGGTGACAATACAAATAGTGAAACTGGTATGTCACTGTGTATCAGACGAAACGATATTGAGTAAAACTGAAGAACATTCCATGTTATTTACCGCTGACTATAATACAAGGCCTCTAACGCAAGATCAATCCTACACAAACTAATAACTTGATTATGTAACAGCTTTGGGCTTTGTATCTAATCGATGTATGAACCATATGTATTTTCAACAAACATATTTCTACTTGTATGATATTTCCTACAAGCACCTCTTGTTTACCAGTCAGACATGTACAAGCAAACGTAAGAGCTTTTCTTTGTATTATGTCTTTAATTTATTCAGATGATCTCTTCTCTGATCTGTTGTGTTTGTTGACTAGTACTATGAAGTTGTTCACAAAATGTACTTACCGTGAAGATCCGGGTTACAATTGGCTTCAGCAACCCTTGAATATCCGGGTTACAACTACTCTTCAGCAACACGTTCTTGTTTCACCATGAAGATCCGGGTTACAATTGCTCTCCATCAACCCGTGTAGGTACGGGTTGCAATTGCTTTCAGCAACTCGTGAAGATCCGGGTTACAATTGCTCTTCAGCAACACGTGCTTGTTTCACCGTGAAGCAACTCGTGAGGATCCGGGTTACAATTGCTCTCCATCAACCCCTGAAGGTACGGGTTACAATTGCTTTCAGCAACTCGTGAAGATCCGGGTTACAATTGATCTTCAGCAACACGTGCTTGTTTCACCGTGGAGCAACTCGTGAGGATCCGGGTTACAATTGCTCTTCAGCAACACGTGCTTGTTTCACCGTGAAGGTCCGGGTTACAGTTGGTCTTCAGCAACCCTGCATGTGGTTTGAAGTTTATGGTGTCAATCACAGACAGAAACACTCAAATCCTTGTAATCTGAAGCAGTTTCACAAGAACTACAGCCAATCTAGCATTGTAGTAAGATCACTAAATTATTACCCATTCTTTATCATTTCAGATTTCGCCGCCTTGTGAACAAATCTCGTCTTATCAAAGTAGCATCGATCACGGCCGCTTTTTGCTTCCTAATGGGCTTGTATGAAACGATTATGTATTCAGAGAACGCTTTGAGATCAAGCCTTGAATTCATAACCAAGCCATTGTTTTTTGAGAAGGGAAACTCGTTCCATTGGAGCAGACACTTCATCAACACAAAACAAAGAACCCCCAGTGGGGGTCACGTTCCTATGGCAACACTCCAAAAGGTATATCGCCATATACCGGACACCGGTATTTCCAGAGCAGAGAACAAAAGTCTTGCTGTGCTTTTAGGAAGAGGTGTCATTGAGCCGGCGACTGATCTTGTGACTACTGACACGAAGGTTATTCTCTGGTATAGTCCGACGAGATATCACCCAGTAATGTCGAGACTGCATCCCTTACGTGGATGTCCGGAGTCCAGATGTCGAGTTACGACAAACAGAGCCTTTTATAACCAGAGTGACGCTCTTATATTTACAGCACAGCTCTTGGATAAAATCCCTCCAGAGAAACTTAAAAATCAAGTGTGGGTGTTACACAATCACGAGTCTCCACAATGGTCGAAGGAGACGATGCATTTTCACAGCGAACACTGGCGTTCAAAGTTCAACTGGACGATGGACTACAGGACCGACTCCGACATCAGGACGCCATACGCCATCTTCCAAATGAAAAACGGAATATTTCTCAAACGGGAACGGCGACCATCAAGAAACTACTCACAGATCTGGTCACGGAAGGAAGGAGCTGTTGTTTGGGTGGTCAGCAGCTGCCGGACCATGAGTAGAAGAATGAAATATGTTCGGGAAATGAGTAAATACATCCAAATTGATATATACGGACACTGTGGTAATAAACAATGTTCAAGGTCGAAGGATGAGTCGTGTCTGAATATTCTCTCTAAAAAATATAAATTCTACCTCGCCTTTGAAAATGCGTTTTGCAAAGACTACATAACAGAGAAGTTTTTCCGTTATTTTAACTCTGACATGATCATTGTGACCAGAGGTGGGGGCAACTACAGTGACGTTGCTCCTCCAGGAACCTTCATTGATGCAGCTGACTTTGTGTCTCCACAACGCCTTGCCCAGTATTTGAACGAGCTGGCTGACAATGAAAGAGACTATGTCGACATTCTACGCCGAAAGGACCAGTATGAGCCCATTGCAGAGGAATATCCTATAGTCAGAAATGGAAACATTGTATACATGACCTACCACTACGATGCAGTGCCTATGTGTGACATGTGTGAAAGACTGTGGCATGTTGAGAAGTACAAGACTTTCTACACGGACATAGGGAAGTGGTTCGATAAAGGGCTTTGTTTTCCCCCTAAGGATTTATCTTCATAAATAACGCAGTCGAAAGGAGTAGGGTTTGTATGGTGTGTCAGGAAACAAAGAAACACATAAATATCTTTGTGACGAACACCGGGTGTAAATGTGTGCGTATGGGTCCTTCTTGCAGGGGAGGGTGTGCTTACCCTTTTCTCGAACACTGTTTCGGGGGATGATCGATGTTCTCTGGTGTCAACTTAATATATTCCCTGTGTCTTACTGTCGACTGAACGTTATAATCATTGAGGGATGGAATGGCTGGATGTAATATGTAGCCTTGATTCATTTTGTCATGTAAAACATCACGAGTGAATGGTCATTAAACTAAAAGTGACAATCAACTTTCAAAATGTTAAAGAACACTATATGTCCTATTATGCTTAAACGAAACTTTGATAAAATTTAACATGCAATAATGTTTAACAGAGGTTGTCTATTTATCGTTGTGTAAAATGTTACGCAGCTTTAAATAAGTCAACAGTGTCATTTTTGCGACGTGGAAACCTCTAACATGCAGCTAGTGTGGTCACTTCGTATCACAGGGGGCAGTGGGGTAGCCTAGTGGTTAAGGCGTTCGTTCGTCACGCCCAAGACCCGGGTTCGATTCCCCACATGGGTACGATGTGTGAAGCCCATTTCTGGTGTCCCCCGCATGTATATAGCTTGAATATTGCTAAAAGCGGCGTAAAACTACACTCACTCACTCGTATCACAGTCATGATACCAGATGGGCGCGGTACCTAGCGATCAACATCAAGCTTACATAGAGGTTTATAGTAGACATGTGGAGGACATTTCCAAACGCATGCAGTGACAAAATGCATCCGATGTGATACCCTATTTCCTATTACCATTACCTTCCCGATTTCTCTTCAGGTGAACAATTGACTAGCGTTTGCGTGTGTTTAGGGCGGATGGCAGCAGCTGGGCAGGATACGCTTTCCTTGTTGAGAACACCTGGTATAATCACTATGTCATTCGACTATTTCATTTGATTCTTATAAGCTAATGACATATTGTGGGAGCTGTAAATCGACTCTGCTTTTTTTATGTACAATATGCGTAAAGGTTTGTCGCTTTTATTGAATTAAATGTGATTTGTTGACAAGTTATGTTTCATGTTTTTGAAAATATAGTTGGAAGTTTGAGCTAATTATGCTCCTGTAATACTCCTTGAGACGCACAGTGTGCTTTAGGTCATCTGCATGTACACTAGTCTTACTTCTACCCCGAGAACAGTGTATATAAACCACAATCAGATAGTGCTTAAATGAGGTGCTCGCGAAAAGTTGAACGCATCCAGCTCCCCAAGCATCCAGCCTACCCGTGGCACCCATCCTAAACACATGCAAGGGCAAGTTAATCGTCCACCTGACAGATGCGATGTGATAAAGGACTGCACGGGAACTAGGTATTCCATAGAAGTAGTAGATGATAGGTTCCACTACACTAAATCAGAATCACATGCTCCCTGAGCGAGCACCGTTTGTAAACAACTGAAGAGACAGAGGCATGTGACAGCTGTGATTGGATGAAACAGTGTAAGATGTTTAATTATGTTTTATTAAAAGCACATCCCGTAATTAACACTGACCACAATTTTCAGTATTTTGTGCTGTCAATTTTATCACCATGACTTAAGTATATTGTGTGTACAGATATATTTTCCAGGAGGTGACATTTGGTGCGGAACTGATGTTGATGTGTTCCGCTTCCTGTGCTCGGAAAATTAGCCCGACAGTTTGGCCAGAAATTGTGTTTTATTGTAGTATAAAGGCCAGACTGTACCCATGTGTACATGGAATGGGTGTTGTTAGCCTGGATAATAAAAAATATATATAAGGTTACTATAGAAGTCTAAGGGAAAACATTTGGTGTAACCTGTATAATAATTAGGCTAGACCCTTCCACCCTCCCGGAAGTACGTCATAGGACTTCCGGGTCACATGACCTATGACGTACTATCGGGAGGCTGGAAGACGTCCTATCACCTTGACCTACTTTTATATCGGGGAGGATGGGGGACTTCCTTCATCACTCATTAATATGAAATTAAAATTTATGCATAACGTCAGAGGTCAGAAAGGTCAAGTTGGAATGAAAGATGCAGACCCTTCAACAAGCGAAAACAAAGCGCAGTAAATAATTTCCATATACGGAAACTGTACTACGTGGTCACGTGACCATGGAATGGTCCCCTCGAAGACCTACCGGCCAAAACAAGGCATCTGTCATACTTGGAAGTAACAGCTAAAGAAAATTAAGATGGATCACCTTTACTTACATATTTAATAATCAAATTTATTACCCACGTGGTCAACGTATGGGTAGTTGCATACTTATCTCGTACGTCGCACGAGTGTCGTATCGCGTTGACCTGTGTCGTAACGACTTGACCTGAGATTCTAACGATTTGATTGGATAACCGATTACCTCTCAGTTAGGTCACGTTGTGACGGAACTACTTGTTAATTCATAACATTCATTCTACAACTTAAATGCATTGTGGGAATGCAAACATTGCGAACGTCACCGTGTCGCTGTTTACTTGTGAGTCGAACTGACACATGTTTCCACCAGTGATGTATGCCGAGTGAAGCAGTTGAAAACCAAGAAACGGGGTGCTACGGAGTAGTTTACTGTAGGAGGCTGTACGAGAGGCGATGACAACTGACATGCATCCACTCTCCTACCCAGAGTTCCATGCGGCAAGCCAGCATAGTATCTCTGCCACAGGCCAGAAAAATGTGACGATTCGTCACATCTTGCACCATCCATTCAATATAATGTACATATTTCTTAACTCTTTTATCTTTGACGAGCCTAAACATTTTATGTTTTGTCTAAAGAGTGTTAATTCTGACAAAGAAGCCGAGACCTTTCACACAATTAACGGAAATTAGGTGAGATATATACTAATCAGCATACCAATGTCGTCTTTTGTCCGACGTCGCAAAATGCACAAAACAAGCAATGACGTCAACTAAAATGTTGTATTATTTTCAGCAATTTCATTACATTTGAAGATATGGCTAGTACTCTGTAATAACGATGCAAAATTAGTCAAAATACATCTACACAAACAGGGGAATATGGGAATCTAAGAACTAACTTATATATCGGATAGGGCCTTCCAATTACGTGCTTTCACATGTAGTACGTTGTCATCTTTTCTTATAAATTGTGAAACTACCAAAGCGTATCCGCTCGTATTCGGGAACTTTGAATTGGAATAGTTTGGTTCACCGTGAACATAAAATAACGAAAATATAGCGTCCGTATCTACAACAAATACTCTCCATGTGATCTGAGGTACATTGACCTAGTATTAAGCATAACGGAGTTATGCCCCCTTATCATTATACGTGTATGACCTCTCTGTCGTCGTTTGACGTCGTAGAAGAAAATCCATTTTTGACATTTATTGCGAGTCATTTTTAATGTTGAGCGCATAATGTTATGCATAAGCACATAAATCCAATTCATCTACACTTATGTCGTTCAGATATCAGGCTGTATTTTCTTCGCTCACACTTTCCGTAAAGATGCCAAAATAAAAAAATTCGTAGCACAGTGCTTTTATCGGTGCGCGATAAAAAGCGGAGAAATTTACTGTTTTTAACGCATAACAAAAATTTGGACAACATTTAGCAAGGTCTATTTCTCAAACCGCCGAGGTAGTTGCACTAATATTTATACCAACGGATAGGAAATTTAATATTCTACATTTCTGTGTAATTTTATAGCCTTACGTAGATCCAGGACCACGCGAGCGCAATTCTCGCACAACGTTCACTTTTCAAAGCGTATGAAGATGTGCCTGAAAAAGAACTCGGCATCAAGGGGGTTAAGTCATCGCTGCGCCGGAGTGTGACATGCATCGTGACGTCGGTTACCAAGGGGACAGACAAGAATGGCGTAGTGACGTCAATACAGTGTGACGTCATGCACAAGTGTACTTCAGAACAAAATTCTTCTGCAACCTCTTTATGAAACCGGTTTCATTTTGAAACCATAACAATAACAAAAATACGCTATTTTGTCAATTCAATGCATGTAAGACGTGGGTAATAAATAAAATACCACACTCGGTCTCATTACATACGAATTATACGAAACTCGTGACCTTCATATGGTTTCTGACCCCGCTTTCGCTCGGTCAGATACCATAGGAAGGACACTCGTTTCGTATAATTCGTATGTAATGAGACCTCGTGTAGTATTCTCTATATATAAAACGTAGAATATGAATTACACAATAAGTGATATAAGAGACAGAGACAGGTGTGTTTTAAGTTTCTTATTATTCAAAATTAATGAGAATCCACAATACTTTACTTCTTGAGTTGGAACTTCAAGCCTTCTCAATGCCAGATGGATGCTGGTGAATGTTTGGAAAGAATGTGTTGTAGTGATTATTTTTATGTACGTTTCATTAACTGCTTCCTAGCTGAGACAGAACATGGCAACATGGACTTGTCTTCCTCATGCTTAACATAATCACTATTTATTTTTAAAAACATTTATGATACAATTAGTCATATTTTCCATAGGTAAAATCAATAGGATTGTGTTGCGCGTTAGGCTTACTGTTGCCTGTGGCTGGAGTTGTGTTTGATGTGGGGCGGTGGACCGGCATGATCGGCCACAACCAAACTACCGTGAGAAAAGAAACGTATATGCCTACTATGTTTATAAGGTGGCTACCAATGAAACAAACTAGGACTGGTTATTCGATGATATTGTATCTGATATGGGCTTTATCACTGTGCATGCTCAAGTTTGTCCATTTGCAAAGGCCACAGAGCTTCAGCATTTTACCGACTCGTCACAAAGGGACACTTTGCTTATTTCATACCAGTAACCTTATAAGTTATTTTGAGACGCTCCTCATATAAGTTATTTTGAGACGCTCCTCATATCATTTCGCAATGTGCAATGTGAGATGGTTTTGTGGTTACACAAATGTTTTCTCAAACCTTTTGGTATTAGGAGAAGTGAAGCAAAGGACGGGCCAGGAGAGAAGGTGAAGCGGGGGTAAAATGATTTTTGAAACCCATCAGTTCTTGAATGTTTTTGCTACTGACTGAGTGTGTTTTAATTTGTTTGGTGATGCTCTGGGTTATTTATTAAATTGAAGAAACTTACCATACCATCAGCATACCGTTTCATCATGGGTTCATCCCAACATGGGGTTAGGACAATGTGTGAGTTTTGTTTATTGTTACCTTCATGCCATCAATGGCTTCATCATAGGCATGTTAGGACAGTGTGAAAACACATAACCAGTTTGTTTGTTTATTTACCTTCAGCATCATGGATGTTAGGATTTCATCATGCATGTTCATCATGCATGTTAG